GAGATCCATTCCTATTCTGTGTAGATTCTTCATGTATACATTAAAGCCATTTTCATTTATAATGATGACAGCAAAAGAGCTATATTTTCAGGGAAAATATCCTATCACTGGCTGGGCACAGTGGTTCATGCCTGTCATCCTAGCACTCTAGGAGCCGAGGTGGGAGGACTGCTCAGTTCAGGTGTTTGAAATCAGACTGAGCAAGAGCGAGACCCTGTCTCTACTATAAATAGAAAGAAATTAATTGGCTAACCAAAAACATATAGAAAAATTATCTGGGCATGGTGGCGCATGGCTGTAGTCCCAGGTATCGGGAGGCTGATGCAGCAGGATTGCTTTGAGCCGGAAGTTTGAGGTTGCTGTGAGCTAGCTGACGCCACGGTCCTAGCCCAGGCAACAGAGTAAGACTCTGACTTAAAAAAAGCCTATCACTAAACTAAACCAAATCAAACAAAACTGAAGAGAAAGAGAGTAAGATGAGGACAGGTCTCTGGTATCCTGAACACTTCATTAAATAGCATTAATGACAGTATTGGCAATTGCAGTGCCACACAGCAGTTCACATTTTCTTGGAAGCATGCCCCTTCCTCCTAAGAATTTTCTTCAAACTTTCAATATTATACCATTAAAACTCACATCTTCTAGGACTTTTCTCTGTTTTGATCAAAATTTACAAAGTTTAAAATTATTTTAGAGCTGGATAATGCATCTTTTTTCATAAAAATATCAGAACATGCTGATCTTTGAAAGATATACTAAAGCCTAAAAGTTCTAAGTTTGAGGTTCTAGTTACATTAAAAAACAGAAAACAAGGCTGGGTGTGGTGGTACGTGCCTGTAGTCCCAGCTACTCAGGAGGCTGAGGCAGGAGGATCACTTGAACCCAGCAGTTTGAGGTTATAGTGAGCTATTGATCATGCTACTGTATTCCCCACAAAAAAATCTAAAACCAAAACAAAACCCAAAACAGAAAACAAAATACAAAAGGGCACATGCTGGTTTCTATTAAATTCTTTTTTTTTTTTTTTGGAGACAGGTCTTACTCTGTTGCCCTGGCTAGAGTGCCAGGGTGTCGAGCCTAGCTCAGCACCTCAAACTCCTGGCTCAAGCGATCGTCCTGCCTCAGCCTCCCGAGTAGCTGGACTACAGCATTGCCACCATGCCAGTTAATTTTTTCTATATATTTTTAGTTGGCCAATTAATTTCTTTCTATTTTTAGTAGAGAGGGCGTCTCACTGTTGCTCAGGCTGGTCTCGAACTCCTGACTTTGAGCAATCCGCCCCCATTGGCCTCCCAGAATACTAGGATTACAGGCGTGAGCCACCATGCCCAGCCTAAAATTCTTAATTTCTTTTTACCATAATGTTTGTTTGGCTTGAAAAATGATAGTGGAACTTTCAAAATGAAATTGTGCTAAGGGAACAGGATAAGTCAGATCATTTTCCAGGTTCATAGACTCAAACTGCATGGTTTGAGAGGAAGGATTGTTTATTCTTTATAATATGATCGACTGACACAATGTTCCAAATGCTGAGTAAATGCTAAACTTTTAGCTTGTGTACATTCCTACATAGAATTACCTTAACCACCAATGTGACATAATATGACATAAATCTTAATTTTACCCCAGAGATACAAATAGTTTGGCTAGGTATGGTGGTTTATGCCTGTAATCCTAGCACTCTGGGAGGCCAAGGCAGGAAGATCACTTGAGGTCAGGAATTCAAGACCAGACCAGCCTGGGCAAGAGTGGGACCCCATCTCCACTAAAAAAGAAAAATTAGCCAGGCATTGTGGTGTGCATCTGTAGTCCTAGCTACTCAGGAGGATCGCTTGACACCAGGAGTTAGAGGTTGCAGTGAGCTACGATGATGAGGGCACTGCACTCTACACAGAGTGACAGAGTGAGACCCTGTCCCCCCCCCCAAAAAAAAAGAAAAAGAAAGAAAAGAAAAAAAAAAGAAAAGAAAAAGTTTGTCATACCTCCAGCCTACGCTGTTTCTCAGGATCTTCTTCATTCATGATTCGCTCCTTCTCTGCTCTTTTCTTCTCTTCACGTCGAGACTGTGCAGCTTCCTGTCTTTGCACATGTGTCAGCTTCAAGAAGTTCTCTTCTACTCGAGCACGGTTCTTATCTGCTTTTTGTTTGCCCTTTTCCCAAGAAACAAAGCGTTTCATAAGAAATCCATTTCTATCCAAAAGTAGTAAAATCCCATTTAGCATTCTTTTCATAAAAGTACTCCCATTTGACACTTTCTAGTCAACTAGCAAAGATTAAATCATTGAAATCCTTGATAGTCCCTGCCCCCAGAAAAAATAATAAAAGGTGCCAATTTATAATAAAGGCTTTGAGTCTTACTTCTCTGTTGAGTCGGAACTTTTTGGCTTTATCAATAGAGTAAATCACCATGTTCATCAGGGGTAGCAAAGCCTCCATATCCTTTGGGTAAGTGTTACCTGAACCAGGTACTGCACAAAAAAAAAACATTTTTTTTCTATGAGTTAATGGCAGCATTAATATTAATATTCCAACCCTTTTTATGTTAATAGACTCCTTTCTCTAAATGTCTTAAGCAGTTGAAATGCAGTAGAAAATAGACATTAAAATATATAAAAGGTTCTCTTCTTTTTTTTTTTTTTTTTTGAGACAGAGTCTTGCTTTGTTGCCCAGGCTAGAGTGAGTGCCGTGGCGTCAGCCTAACTCACAGCAACCTCAAACTCCTGGGCTCAAGCAATCCTCCTGCCTCAGCCTCCCGAGCACCTGGGACTACAGGCATGCGCCACCATGCCAGCTGATTTTTTCTATATATTTACTTGGCCAATTAATTTCTTTCTATAGTAGAGACAGGACTCGCTCTTGCTCAGGCTAGTTTCAACTCCTGACCTCGATCAATCGCCTATAATTTCAAGTGACAGATAACAGGGAATTTAGTATGACGTGTAGTACAGAACTGAACAGGATCTTTTATAGAGCATTACATCTCAAAGCACTTCACAACATAACTGAGCAGCCACTTTAGAAAAGGAGATGTAAAATAATGCCCATTTATAGATGAGGAAACAGAACTCGTTAAAAGCACTAGGACAGCACTTGGTTTGCTTGCAAATCAGGGCTTCTTCTCAGGAAGGTAGAAAACTAGCTCTTTTAATTCTACAACTAATAGCTAGTAGGCAAGAAAAATATAAGAGAGCTATATAATTTTTAAATTAAAATGTGGTAGACGGGGCGCCTGTAATCTAGCACTCTTGGGAGGCCGAGTAGCGGATTGCTCAGAGGTCAGGAGTTTGAAAACCAGCCTGAGCAAGAGCGAGACCCATCTCTACTATAAATAGAAAGAATTAATTGCACTAATATATATAGAAAATAGCGGCATGTGGCGCATGCTAGTCCCAGTACCGGAGCTGAGACAGAGGATTGCTGACCCAGGAGTTGAGGTGCTGTGAGCTAGTGACACCACGGCACTCACTCTAGCCTGGCAACAAAGCAAGACTCTGTCTCAAAAAAAAAAAAAAAAGTGTAGGAAAGCAGTTGAGAGATCTCCCTCAAGTAATAGATATAATAACCTAGGCAGAGATAGTATCTGATTTTCAAAATAATCCCATGGAACTGAATACTTTAATAAGGCTCGTGTCTCTGAATTATACTATTTAGATAAATGAATTAGGAAATTTAAAGAGATACTTATTTTAAAAGATGAAGACAGCAACAAAGTATCCAATAAAAACACCATTTAAAAGTGGTATAGTTGTATAGACACAAGTTCTCCTTTTGAGAAAAAATGTCAGTTTTCTTCTGAAATTGATATTATTCACATTCACAGAGCTGATAATGCCATCAATAAGAAGGCATTCAACTTGTATAAGATAAAAACATCTTACTTTCACATGTGATCAAATTTTGTGATCACCAAACCCAGAAACTGAGAAAATACTTTTTTTTAAGACAGTCTCGCTTTGTGCCCAGGTTATGAGTGAGTGCCGTGGCGTCAGCTAGCTCAGCAACCTCAAACTCCTGGGCTCAAGTGATCCTGCTGCCTCAGCCTCCAGAGTAGCTGGACTACAGAGCATGCCCACCATGCCCGACTAATTTTTCTATGTAATATTAGTTGCCGATTATATTCTATTTACAGTAGAGATGGGTCTCGCTCTTGCTCATGCTAGTTCTAAGTCATGACCTTGAGCAATCATGCAATGGCCTGCCTTGGCCTCCAGAGTAGATACAGGCGTGATGAAGCACCGCGCCCGGCCTGAGAAAATACTTTTATTTATTCTGTTTTAGCAGTCTGTAATAGAAGTCACTCCTATAATTCTTTTCCTCATATCTTTTCACATTATTAAAAATAGGCAGGAACAGTCAAGAAAGTAACCTGGGAGAAAAAGTACAGTATTTTTACCCCTTCTCACCAAATCCAATAAATCTTAAAAAATCATGATTCTAAATAATCTTCACATGCCAATTCCTATTGATTGAGTGAGAAATGAGACTATCAGTAGTTTTTGGTCTAAATTTTCATCAAAGAAAGGAGTTTCACATTTGTCACTCACAGGGGAAAAAAATTCTTCTTACTAAGGAAACAGAATCATAAGCTACTGCCTTCTTCCTCAAAAGATTACCCTATCAATTTTGCAGTAAAGTTAGAGACTCTGAAACGATCGTGCTACTGTTCCATTTGGAGATAAGTAAAAAAAGAGAGTAAAACAAGCATGTGCATTGGCTCATAACTTAATACTAGTAGCACTCAGGGACCAAGTAGGAGGATTACTTGAGCAGGAGTTCGAGAATAACCTGAGCAACAAGGCAGACCCCTCTCTCTACAAAAAGTATAAAAATTAGCAGGGCACCTGGTGGCACATGTCTGTAGTCCCAGCTACTCAAGAGCTTGATGCAAAGAGTATTTTTTGAGCTCAGGAGTTTGGGCTGCAGTAAGCTACGAAAGACGTCACTGCACTGTAGCCCGAGCAACAGAGTTGGACTCTGTATAAAAAAAAAGCAAAAACATGCACTTCGAGAACAGTCCTAGATGATGCTTTACATTTCGTAAAGTGCTTAATAGTTTACAAAACAATTTACATATACAGTATTACCTCTTGGTGTTAGAACTACTATCCCATTTTATAGAAGTTAATGACTTTACCCAATGCAAGGGATAATTGGTTGGCTGGCACTAAAAGCTGTCTTTGTCTCTTAATGCAGTGCTTATTCAGCATTGCTAAGTGATCATGATTGGAGACTCAGTAGTGTTCTGTGGTAATAGTAAACAACATTCTCTGCTTGTCCTCACATTCATAGGAGGGTTAATGAGTATTAACTCAAGAAGAGGGACTACAGGAGTAGCCCATTAATAACATATAGGGCTCTAAAAAATATAAAACATCTAAAGTGATAAATAGTAAAACAAAGGGAATATCAAGCCAACTCTTTAAAAGGCAAAGTACTTCAATGCATGACTTTTATTGAACAGAAAGACTTTCTATGGTTATGCTCTTACGGACAGTTCCGAAAGTCAAGGGGGCACGCTGAGATTTTGTCAATCATGTTTAATATATGTCCTGGTAGGTAGTTCATATGAATGCTAATACAAATAGCTGCCATGGTCCAAATGTATGGGATTTTAAGAAAGCTTTTATTACTCAAAAGATAATAAGCATATCAACTTTGACTTCTAGAATGTATTTAAAGGTCTGTAAAACAAGGTTAATTCTAGAATTATATACATTAAAAGTAATTCAATTTTTTTTTTATTAATAACTTAATTTCATGAACTGTTAAAAACATTACATATACATCTCTCAGTTTACACATTTCTGTATTAACCTAGAGAAAAAACCCATGTGAAAATTTCCATGCAGTTACAAAGCAGCAGCACATGCTGTTTTCACAGCAACTTATTGTATTGCCTCAGAACAGACCTGCACATAAAGCATCAACAAAAATACCACCCACCCCACTCCCCACTGAAAACCAACCTTTTCCATCCCCACCCAAAATTACCTGGTACAAGCAGTGACCTAAAAATGCTTTAGTAGGAAGCATTATAAAATGCAAGAAATCTGAACAAAGCTAAATGCTTGTGCAGATAGATGGCTCTCTCCCGGAATTTCCCGGTATAAAGAGGCAGGAAAGAACTCTCAATAGTACAGGAAAGTCATTTTAAAGTCATACTTAGCATATTCATAAGCTATTTTTGAAAGTAACAGTACCAGCCTGCAACTAGGAAAGGAGAGAACAGAGGGAAGCAAAGATTACATAACTACAGGCACAGAGAATAGAGCTTCTCCATGCTCTAATAGTGCAACCAAGAAGAAAACATGTTGACTCACACAGACCAACAACTGCTGTGATCTAATCTAGGTGAAGTATTAATTTCATGCATTTGTTACTCGAGAAAGATAACATACAACCACTTAAATAAGAGCATTCACATTTGTCATTGCTTCTAGTATCAGGTAGGAGAACTGTGCTCTGTATTACCTATTCCCAGAATTTTCCATCTATGTCAGTATTCTATCTAATGCGCACAAATTACCATAATACTGTCATGCAGCACCTCTCCACCTATAAACATACGCGTGCATTGTTTTAAGACCTGAAATTTCATTACTTCATATAGCTAAATTTGTTCTTCACAAGTTTAATGCAGACACAGAAGAAATACACCAAGCAATGTTTATTGTGTAATTCCAATAGTATTTGTGAATCTTGTTTAGATCAAGTCTTCATAGCCACTTCAAATGCTTAAACAAAAGACAATCTAGTCTATAAATTTCAGATATTTCTTCAAACAATTGAAGTACTAAAAGCACTGATGATTCATTTATAATTTTAAAATGTTATAAAACTACACAGATTTCATATATCTTCCTTTACAAAATAATTCAAAATTAATTTGAGTTTCTGGAAGAAAATACTAACAGAGCCCTTCCGATCTATCTACACACCTTCATAAAACTCCAACCAAATAGCTAGATGTGATGATGAAAATAAAGAGAATCTCAGTTTGCTAGAAGGTCTGAATATTTAAGGTGAGAAATGGGAACATGTTTTGTTTCCTGTTGGAATTGCACAGCTTACAGGTGGCATCAGAACTCATATCTCCGGGTGACTTTACATGGCTTTCACTTGATTTGTTTCATTTTCATTTGTTTGCTTCTCCAACTTCTTTGCTCACGCCTCAAAGCAAGCTTCCTAGAAGAAAGGAGGAAAGGGGCGAGGGAGAGAGAGAACCCAAACTAATGCTCTAAGCACATGTTTAAAAATCAAAACCACAATATGCCTATAGTTATTAAAAACTAGGGGCTGCACCATAAATAACACTCTAGAAAGATAATTATAAAAATAATGCATAACTATGTTGGTGAATGAACAATAACTTGAATGGAGCAGAGGCAACGAAAACATCTCATTTAGAAAGAGGACTGACATCCACTACTCGCCGTCAAAAGGAAAAGTAAAAAAGAAAAGTAAATTT